AGAGAGCATCCTTATGGGTTGCTCCTTGTGTGCTGTAGCTTCCTGGGAAAGGCTTCCAAAGTGTTAATCTCGTTGTGAAGGCTAGTGGCTGTAAGAGCTAATGGGATGGCGGCAGGGTCTGTAATCCTGTTTGTTTTGCAATAATGGGCTCATTGACGGAGGCTTTGGTTGGAAAGGGACAAAGTCCGAACAAAGAAGGCCTTAGACACAGTTTAATAGTGGTGGAGTGAGTTATAGGAACTCCAAGCCAGTGTCCCTCTGACTCCAAAGACTATGGTTTCTCTTGTCAATATGCTGCTTCTCTTTTGACAATGACAACCAACCTGCGAGCTTATCGGATTCCTCCAGGCTGTGTCTGGATAGGCAAAAGAAGATATCGGTAGGTATAAAAACAGGGGTTAGAGAGAATGTGTGTGTGTGTGTGTTGTTTGTTTGTTTGTTTGTTTTCCATAGAACTGTAGAAAAGGCACTTCTACAAGTGCCACATAATGTTCCTTCTGCACTTGCAAGAAAGCGATCCTTTAGTATAAAAGCACCTATATTTTGGAAATCTCTGCCCATTGATATTAGACAGGTACCTATTGTTTTTAGCACCCTGCTTTAATTTTTTTGTTTTGTTTTGTTCTGGCAACCCTACCTAGGCATGTCATTTTAGCTTGTAGTTGTTGTTTTTTGACATCTGTCTTCAAATTACTGATTGTATTTTAACTTATTTTTATGCCACTTGTTTTTAGCGTTTTGGGTTTTTTATTTGCAGCTTTGATTAATCTTTTGGACTGGCTATTGCAAACTGCTTAGAGGTCTTTTGTTCTAGGGAGCAGCATATACATTTCGTAGAAGAAATGAAGTGGAATGGGAACTCCCACAGAGCCCCAGAATCATTCTCTGAACACCAAGGATTCTGAAAGATGTGAACAAATAGGCAGTGCCTCTGAGCATGTGAAGAGTGCCTTAACCTCAGCATTGAGTAATGTGCTGAACCTTGAATGTGACTTCTCATCAGACTTTAGTTTTTGGTGCCTCCCAGGTTCAGAAATTAACCAGAGGATGGGAAAGCAGTGTAGCTCATAGTTTGCATGTAGGGAAGTGAGAGAAATTTGATTTGGTTTGCACTGAAAGGCGAGTCTTACCCAGTTCCTTGAAACAATACACACAGACATCCTTCAAAATTCACATTTCTCCAAATTTTGCAAGGCTGTTCTCCAGCCATTTAATGTGGACTGAAAGGCATACATTAGGGGGAAGCGTGCAGATGTTCCCTGCCTGGAATGTCACTGCTAGAGCAGCCGTCTTGCGTGGGGAAGTCTCCATGCTCATTCCTTGAAATCTCTATTTAGGGCTGCCCTGTGGATGCCCAACACCTGAAACCCCGGAGAGCTATTTGGGTGCCCAGGCACCACGGAGCCCACTGCCCCGCACAGTATACGAGATCCAGGAACCACTTGCGATGGCATTATTTTGGTTCAAATTAAGCCACAACTTTATTGATTATAACCGTAAGGGGTTTGGGCTTAGGTCTTGGGCATACAGTGGTACCTCGGGATGCCAACGGGATCCGTTCCAGAGCCCCGATCACATCCTGAAGCGAACGTAAGACGTGACTGTGCGTCTGCGCGGGTCGGGTTTTGCCACTTCCGCGCATGCGCGTGACATAATTTTGAGCGTCTGCGCATGCACGAGCGGCGAAACCCGAAAGTAACACGTTCCGTTACTTCTGGGTCGCTGCGGAGCGCAACCCAAAAATATTTAAGCTGAAGCGTATTCATCCCGAGGTATGACTGCAGCCTGCATTGGAGGGATGCGGGTGGTGCTGTGGTCTAAACCACTGAGCCTCTTGGGCTTGCTGATCAGAAGGTTGGCGGTTCAAATCCCCGCCGTTGCTCTGTCCCAGCTCCTGCCAACCTAGCACTTCAAAACCACGCCAGTATAAGTAGATGTGGCAGGAAGGTAAATCACGTTTTCATGCGCTCTGGCTTCCGTCACAGTGTCCCGTTGTCCCATTGTGCCAGAAGTGGTTTAGTCCTGCTGGCCACATGACCTGGAAAGCTGTCTGTGAACAAATGCCGGCTCCCTCTGCCTGAAAGCGAGCTGAGCGCCGCAACCCCATAGTCGCCTTTGACAGGACTTAACCATCCAGGGGTCCTTTGCCTTTTTACCTTATAGCCTGCATCAAGTGGCCCGCCTGCTGGTTGATTCTCTAAGGGGCTCAAACCAGTGGCATACCCTGCAAGTGTCCTGATTTTCCCGGGACAGTCCTGGAATTACAAAAGCCATCCTGGCATCTGAACTGATCCGGCAATGTCCCTATTTCCCCTACCAGTGCCGCTGCTGCTGAGCTCGGGGAGGAGAATGAGCCGGTGCTTCTCCCAAATGACAGCGGCAGCTGCGAAGGAGCATCCTGTTGCCTCCCCATGGCCTCTCCCTGGCCACCGCTGCCAGCCTCCTCCCTTGGGCGGCTTGTAGCAAGTGCTGGAGTGCAGGCAAGGCCGAGGACTCAGATAGGGTGTCTGGAGAGCCACCTTTGAAAAAGAAAACTGGGGGCCTACAGGTCTCCATCCCAGTTTGGGGGTCATCAGGACAGAAGCTCTGGCTGTTCTGGTTCCTTCTGCCTGGGGCCGAGGGCAACAGCATCGGGAGCGAGTGCGAAACACCTGTTCGCACCATGCACAAAGAGGGTGAAGGGAAACCCCTGCACCTGTGAGTGGCGTTTAGGCGCTCATTATCCCTGCTTCTTACAAGGAAAAATATTGATGTGAATGTAACATTATTATCTTCCTTTATGCTGCAGAATGGAAACAGCTCTCCTGCATAAAAGCAGACATAATGGCTGTTGAGACAGTGTAAATTGCAGCCCTAAAAACTAATGAATTATACATATTCCATTAAGTGCGTCAATAAAAGGGCCTCTTGGTTTTTTTCCTCCCCCCTTTTTTTTCTTTTTTGGCTTTCCCATGCTTACCCAAATTCTTCAGGCTATTTCTGTTTATTGATTTCTCCAGCAGCTGAATATAATCGTACGGTGGAAGTGTTTGATAACACAAGCATTAATTGTGGCATCGAAAAAGGCTAATTTGGAGGATTAGTCACCCTGAGAGTCTAACCTCTTAATTTGGTTCAGTCCCTGATTGGATTATATGACCCAGGGGTTAATTAGGGGGTTAGGCCACCCAGGCGTTCTTGAACTACAAGTCCCATCATTCCTTACCATTCATCATGCTTGGTGGGGCTGATTGGACTTGTAGTTCAACAACACCCAGAAGTCCCGCTGGAACAGGCCAATGGCCCATCTAGTCCAGCACCCTGTTCTCACAGTGACCCAACCAGATGCCCCAATGGGAGGCACGTAAGCAGGAAACAAACACAAGAGCCCTCTCCCCTCCCATGGTTTCCACCAATTCCGCCAATCTCCACTGTCAATAATTTACCGTATTTTTCGCTCCATAAGGCGCACCGGACCATAGGGCGCACCTAGTTTTTAGAGGGGGAAATCAAGAGAAAAAAATCTTATTTCCCCCCAGCCCCGAAGAGCAATGTACAGGCTGCGCACAACCTCTCCCTGCCGGAGGGGTTGCGGGCGGCTATGGCACAAGCCAAGACAGCGAGCGGGATGGATTCCCGCTCCCTGTCTTGGCTTGTGCCATAGCCGCCCGCAACCCCTCTGGCAGGGAGAGGCTGCATGGGGCTAAAGAAGCCATTAGGGGGCTGCGCGCGGCTATCCCTGAAGCCTGGAGAGCAAGAGAGGTCGGTGCGCACCAGGCTTCAGCGAAAGCAAAGCGTAGCCTCCAGAGCGTGGAGGGAGCGCTCCTTCTGCACTTCGGAGGCTTCACGTTGCTATCGCTGAAGCCAAGGAGCCTGCATTCGCTCCATAGGACGCACACACATTTCCCCTTAATTTTTGGAGGGGGGAAAGTGTGTCCTATAGAGCGAAAAATACGGAAAAAATAACAAGAGAAATTAAACATAAACAACTAAGACTTCCATGGCTGGCCTTGCTTCTCATTGCTCACAGGCTTCAGCCTTTCTGTCCTGTAAAATATGAATATTAATGGGTCGTCTTTAAACAAGTCTTTGTTGAACTCTGCTGGCCAGTTTTAGAATGTTGTGCTTAAATCTCTGATCTGTAGTAACTCAGATGTAACAACAACAACAATTTATTATTTATACCCCACTCATCTGGCTGGGTTTCCCCAGTCACTCTGGGCGGCTTCCAACAGAATATTAAAAACACGATAAAACATCAAACATTAAAAACTTCCCTAAATAGGCCTGCCTTCAGATGTTTATCTGTTTGACATCTGATGGGAGGGTGCCACTACTGAGAAGGCCCTCTGCCTGGTGCCTGTAACCTCACTTCTCGCAGGGAGGGAACAGCCAGAAGGCCCTCGGAGCTGAACCTCAGTGTCTGGGCTGAACAATGGGAGTGGAGACGCTCCTTCAGATATACTGGACCAAGGCCGATTTAGGGCTTTAAAGGTCAGCACCAACACTTTGAATTGTGCTCAGATACGTACTGGGAGCCAATGTAGGTCTTTCAAGACCGGTGTTACGTGGTCTCGGTGGCTGCTCCCAGTCACCAGTCAAGCTGCTGCATTCTGGATTAGTTGTAGTTTCTGGGTCACCTTCAAAGGTAGCCCCATGTAGAGAGTATTGCAGTAGTCCATGCGGGAGATAACTAGAGCATGAGCCACTCTTGCGAGACAGTCTGCGGTTAGGTAAGGTCTCTCTAATACAGTGGTTCTCAACCTATGGGTCCCCAGATGTTGTTGGACTACAACTCACATCATCCCTGAGCTCTGTCCTTGCTAGCTAGGGGTGATGGGAGTTGTAGTTCAACAACATCTGGGGACCCACAGGTTGAGAGAGGCTGCTCTAATATATGGATGGGGTGGGGTCTGGCTTAGCATTCCTGGATGATGTTCCCAACATAGCCTGTTTAAAGGCACGGTTCTTGTTTTAAAATCAGAACACCTTCTAATATCTCCCCCTCTTTCTCTTAGCAGGGGTTACGATGACCCGATTGAGACCGAGATGGTCGATGAGAGGATCCCCGTATCTGCATGGCAGCTATGCGGCGCCCTTGGCGCAGCCCGAACGGGGGAGCATGGCCAGCATTGACCGCCTGGGCAAGCGCTCGCCTTCCATTGACAGCATCCGCAAAGACCCTCGCTGGCGGGACCCGGACCTCCCAGAAGTCATTGCGATGCTCAGCCACCCCATCGATCCGGTCAAGTCCAACGCGGCAGCGTATCTGCAGCACTTGTGCTACGAAAACGACAAAATCAAGAAGGACGTGAGGCACCTCAAAGGCATTCCCATTTTGGTGGGCCTCTTGGACCACCCCAAGCCCGAGGTGCACCGCAAGGCTTGTGGGGCGCTCAGAAACATATCCTACGGGAAGGATAATGAGAACAAGGTGGCGATAAAGAACTGCGATGGGATCCCGGCTTTGATCCGGTTGCTGCGGAAGACGAATGACATGGAAGTTCGGGAGCTCATTACAGGTCAGCACCTCTGTTTGTACCTATGGGGATATGTTTGTTTTTATGGAAAGCTTTTGCTTGCTTCAGCATCAGAGTTTGCCGTGGAAGTAGGGGCCGTAGTCTGCCAACAACTTGGTCTGAATTTATTCCTTGATTTATTAATCGTTTAGGTAAGGTAAAAAGGTAAAGGACCGCTGGGCGGTTAAGTCAAGTCAAAGGAGACTATGGGGTTGTGGCGCTCATCTCGCTTTCAGGCCGAGGGACCCGGCCTTTGTTTGCAGACAGTTTTCCAGGTCATGTGACCAGCAGGACTAAACCGCTTCTGGCGTAATGGAACACCATGACAGAAACCGGAGCGCACGGAAACACCGTTTACCTTCCCACCACAGTGGTACCTACTTATCTTTTTTTTTTTAATTGATACAGCAAGAAAAGAAAAAAGAGAAAACACAAATACCAAATTACACACAGGAATAACCATAGACACACAATTTTCTTAACAAACGATAAAACATAAATTGGTCTTAACACTAAAGACCCAACCTCCCGTCTATTCCATATTTTGATTTCATATTATTTATTGCCAATACACACTTTTATCGTAATTAAACTTTTTCTTAATATATCTTAATTCTTATATCTCTTTTGCAACTATTACTGAAGTTCCTTGAATGCTGTTTGAAAGAGTTTAAACTACTATATTTATATTTCAAATATTCTTTGAAAACCTCCCATTTTGAAACAAATTCCTGTTTTGATTTATTCTTTATTTTTTTCTGATGGTACCTACTTATCTACTTGCACTGGCGGGCTTTCGAACTGCTAGGTTGGCATATTTGCTTGTTGTTGTTGTTGTTGGCATCCGTCTGTCTCAGGAAACAACAGAGGAGTGCACCTTTGAGGGGTGAGGTCAAGCTGTTGGATAGTTGCAGCTCCTGCGGTGGCTGTAGAGACCGATGCGGGAGAGACATGTCATTTATTGATGTATATCTCACCCTTCCACCCAAAAGAGCCTAAACACACACAGAGAGGGAGAGTGAGAGTGAGAGAGAGTGCAAAAAATATCTAAAAACTATCAGCAATGAAAACGCTTCCAGCAGAGTTTTGGGCTGAGGCAAGGATCTCTACTTAAAAAGCATGTTTATTTGTTTGTTTGCTATTACATTTCTATTCCCACCTTTCTTCCAAGGAGCTCAAGATTGGTCTCAGCTCTTGTTTGCAGGTTTCCCGTAGGCATCAGGTTCATAGCTGTCAACTTTCCCCTTTTCTTGCGAGGAATCCTATTCGGAATAAGGGAATTTCCCTTTCAAAAAGGGAAAAGTTGACAGCTATGATCAGGTTGGTCCCTTTGAGAGCAGGGATGCTGGACTGAAGGGGTCGTTGGCCTGGATCCAGCCGGCTCTTTTTATATTTTATTTCACCAAATTTATATACCACTTTATTGTACAAAACAAAACAAACAAACCGTCATAGCAGTTTGCAAACTGTGTCTTAGGTTCTTAGCACTCCTTCTAAGGCAGCCAGACCCTCTCCTATGCCTCTTCCCTGCCTGCCCCCACATTATTCACCCATTATTGATGGTCACTGGGCATGCTCAGTGCTTTTAGATTTCTGCTGCCCACCCTCCCAGTTCCATCCCCCCGCCCCAAGTTATTTTTGTTTCCCCAAGTGTGCTGGTGCCTCCCTCTTGGTGATATTTTGGCTGCATCAGGACCAGCGCTCAGAGGACTGAGTTTGCATTTAGTATACAGTGGTGCCCCGCAAGACGAATGCCTCGCAAGACGGAAAACCCGCTAGACGAAAGGGTTTTCCGTTTTTGAGTTGCTTCACAAGACGATTTTCCCTATGGGCTTGCTTCGCAAGACGAAACGTCTTGCTAGTCTTGCGATTTTTTCTTCGCTTCCCCCCCCTTTTTCTTAGCCTTTTAGCCGCTAAGCCGCTAAGCCTTTAATAGCCGCTAAGCCGCTAAACCGCTAATAGGGTTGCTTCGCAAGACGAAAAAACCGCTAGACGAAGAGAATCACGGAACGGATTCTTTTCGTCTTGCGAGGCACCACTGTATAAGATGTTCTTTTAACTTGAATGGATTGGTTGCTTCAGGTCCTGGATTATTTTGCAGACTTTTCTTTAAAAAGGTTCATCCTTTTTTTAAAAAAAAAAGAAGAAGAGTGAAATCCATTTATTTTTCAGTAGTAATTTGTCAGAGAAGCTAATTTCCCAGAAATATGCACATTTCCTTCCTCGCCCCCCCTTTTTTAAGATTCAGAAATGGAAAAGCTGGCCCATAATTTGACCTGCATGGATAATATTTTAATGTTAAATGGTTATCAGGCTTCTTTGCAGTGACAGAATCACGTCTGAGTTTGCCCTTTCCCCTGTTGAAAGGGGTGGCTGCAGCGGCTTTGAATCTTGATTAATGAATTCATTTTGTGCTCTGAACATGTTCTGTCGGGATTGGGGCCAAACGAACGAAGACACTAGACATGGTGTCAGGAAAGGCATTCATGGCGTTTTAAAAAATAAACTGCAGATCTGGAGAAGGGTGCCATATTTTGCACCAAGCGCATAAGATAAGATCAACTGGATCAGGCCCATGGCCCATCAAGTCCATGATGGCTATTTTTGTGACTCATGCAGAGTGATACAGCCGTTTCACCCTCGAAGTAGACTCCATACACAAGACTTTGAAGATGACTCTTTACTTGCAGGGTGGCAACTATTAACCAGCAGTATCATCCTAGGTAAAGGTCAAGGGACCCCAGACCATTAGGTCCAGTCGTGACCGACTCTGGGGTTGCAGCGTTCATCTCGCTTTATTGGCCGAGGGAGCCGGCGTACAGCTTCCGGGTCATGTGACCAGCATGACTAAGCCGCTTCTGGCGAACCAGAGCAGCGCATGGAAATGCCGTTTACCTTTTTACCGGAGCGGTACCTATTTATCTACTTGCACTTTGACGTGCTTTCAAACTGCTAGGTTGGCAGGAGCAGGGACCGAGCAACGGGAGCTCACCCCATCGCAGGGATTCAAACTGCTGACCTTCTGATCAGCAAGTCCTAGGCTCTGTGATTTAACCCACAGCGCCACCTGCGTCCCCCATATCATCCTAAGAGCAGCGCAATTCATTTCACTCTCTTGAGCCCAAGAGAGGGTTCTTTTTCCTTCGAAAACTCCTTTGAAGCAGTCCCTAAATTATACCTTTGTCTGTCCTCACCAACTCCTCCGGGTAGCGTGTTCTTGGAGCCTCCACGCTCACCAAATCAATGGCAAAACAACCATCCAAACGCCAACCTCCACCCCTCCTTATCTAACACACACACACACACACACACACACACACACACACACACACTTTTAAAGGGAGTTAACCCATTAACAGAGCAACGGTTCAGTGTTTCTGTGACCTTAATTGGAGCCACAAGATTTTGCAGCTGTTGCATTACATTACGTAGGTTTTCTTTTCCCCAATGCACTTTATGCTTTGTAAAATGCATTTTCTAACAAATACAGTACAAATACTAACTGTTATGTACTGAGTTGAATAGGATCCAAAAGGCAGCAGTCTGATTGGTCCTAGAACAATAGGCTCCAGAATGCAGCAGTCTGATTGGTCCACAGGAGCCACCCAATCCAGCTCCAGGTGGAAGCGAATCCGCGACCTGACTGGCCTACAGGAGAATCCCAGAATTAGCCAATCACGTGGGCCCATTGTGTAAATAGTGTATATTTTGGGGGAACTTCCATTCCTCCTCACCGCTATGAGCTGAATAAAGAGCATGAAATCCACTCTTAACTCCGAGTATATTTCACTAACAGTCCAGCATCCTGTTTTCACAGCGGCCAAGCAGATGTCCCAGAGGGAAACCTGCAAACAGAACCTAAGCAAAAGAGCTCTTTCCCCTCCTGTGACCTCCAGCAACTGAAAGCCTTTCTGCCTCTGACCATGGAGGCAGAAGAGTGCCATCATGGCTGGTAGTCATTGATAGCCCCATCCTCCATGAATTTATCCAATCCTCTTTTAAAGCAATCCAAGTTGGTGGCCATCACTGCCTTGTGGGAGTGAGTTCCGCAGTTGTTGTTGTTGTTTAGTTGCTTAGTCGTGTCCGACTCTTCGTGACCCCCTGGACCAGAGCACACCAGGCACTCCTGTCTTCCACTGCCTCCCACAGTTTGGTCAAACTCATGCTGGTAGCTTCGACAACACTGTCCAACCATCTCGTCCTCTGCCGTCCCCTTCTCCTTGTGCCCTCCATCTTTCCCAACATCAGGGTCTTTTCCAGGGAGTCTTCTCTTCTCATGCGGTGGCCAAAGTATTGGAGCCTCAGCCTCAGGATCTGTCCTTCCAGTGAGCACTCAGGGCTGATTTCCTTCAGAATGGATAGGTTTGATCTTCTTGCAGTCCATGGGACTCTCAAGAGTCTCCCCCAGCACCAGAATTCAAAAGCATCAATTCTTCGGCGATCAGCCTTCTTTATGGTTCAGCTTTCACTTCCATACATCACTACTGGGAAAACCATACCTTTTACTAAATGGACCTTTGTTGGCAAAGTTCCGCGGTATAACTGCATAAAGAACTTGCCCCGAATCTGCCCTAAATCTGGCAGCATTGAGCTTCGTTGCTTTCTGCCCCCAAATCTAGAGTTGTTGTAGGAGCTGCCTTGGCTTCAGCAATCTCACAGTATTTATTTAGGCACATCTTGAAACTGAGCTGCAAGCAGTAGCAATCCTTTTTCTTCTTCTTATTTTACTGTGCTTTCTCCCCTGTTCTCCCCACCCCCCTCCCCATACTGTGACTTGCATGTGATCTCTTGGGACTCGGGGAGGGGGGGCAACGTTATTTCAGCAGACCATTCTCTCATCCTCAGTGTGGAGAAGAATGAGGGCAGGTCTGATAAGGGAAGTAATACGTTGCGATTCGGCAAGGCAGCGAAAGGTCTTATTTTATCGTGAGCGATAAGGCTCGGCGCAGAACGAATGTTCCCCATCAGAGATACAGGATGTGCGGCTTCTATTATGTGGCTCG